TACCCATTGGAAACAGTCTACCTCTTATTCTCTGCTAGCCAAGGGTATAAACAAGCAATTTATTAAGAAGCTACAATTGGGTGATAATCTTGACTTTTTAAAAAATATTTTGTCTTTTAAAATACTATTAACTGTCTTATAGCTGACTGGATATTTGCTTTTTAGCCAACTGCAGTATCTCTTAGAATGTAATAGTTATTAATTGATGTGCACAATTTAAACTATAAGTGCCAAAAGGTCTTAAACAAGTTTCACCCCAGTCTTTCTATGCCTTCCACCTCACATATTCCTTGCCCGGATACCACGTGCTAAACAATTTGTCAATGATAGTTGTGGTAGTGTGTTGGGTTTTGAGGGGTGATTTTTCTCAGACATAGAATAAAATCTGCTGGCCATTATGGCCTTCTTTTAGGACAATGGACTTGCTTAGCTATCATCATATTGTGTGAGCCTACGTAATCCATTGCACTTTCCTTAGTCAAGTTAGTGAAATGAGAAAATAACACAAATTGGGTTATTATGAGAGTTCAACGAGTTACAATGCCATTTCTTTCTCTTGGTATGGTTTACATAGTATATGAGTAATACAGTGGTTACATAGTTTATGAGTAATACAGAACAACTATGATATGTCAATTGTATCAATATAGCTGACAAAATAATATCTTGAGATACCTGACCCTAGGGCCTCTCAACCCACCTCACATTAATTTGTCTGCCTCTATAGGAAAGTTGAGTGAAAGCAATCACTCCCCAACACTATTTCTTTCAAATAAATCACAAGTAAATGAATCTTCATGAGCTACCAATGAAATCAATCATTCAGTCATCCAATTTAGCAAGAGACCAGTGAGTACAATTCTGAGGTAGAGGAGGCAGAGCCATCAGGAGGCAGAGGGGCTTGCTCACTTTGATTTCTACAAAGCTACCTAAAGCCTCTGGCTCTCAAGCTAGCAAATGGAACCAGCTTTCCATTTGTAGAAATGGTAGAAGTATCAAAGTAGAGAATTTGTGTGAAAGTTCGCTGTATATACTAAATCACTTTACAAAGCTAATACTATTTCCGTACTTTAAAAATAGTATTGATTTTCGCCTCTGAAAGACTATTGATCAAGGTATCAAAGCAGAGGCTGAAACTCATAGCCAAACTTTGGCCAGAGTGCATAGAAGAGGGAGACAGAAAAACCTGGAGGGGATAGGAACTCTAAAAGGAGATCAACAGACCCAAAAAAATACTGGGCTCTGGGGGACCTGCAGAGACTGATACCCCAACCAAGGACCATGCATGGAGAGGACCTAAAAACCCTGATCAGATGTAGCCCATAGATTCAGTCTCTAAGTGGGTTCCTTAGTAAGGGGAGCAGGGACTGTCTTTGGCATGAACGCAGTGGCAGGCTCTCTGATCACCTCCCCCTTGGGGGTGCAGCCTTGCCAGGCCACAGAGGAAGACAATGCAGCCAGTCCTGATGATACCTGATAGGCTAGGGTCAGATAGAATGGGAGGAGGACCTCCTCTATTAGTGGACTAGGGGAAGGGCATAGGAGGAGAAGAGGGAGGGAGGTTGGGAGGGATTGGGAGGAGATGAAGGAGGGGGCCACAGCAGGGATACAAAGTCAATAAATTGTAATAAATAATTAATAAAAAATTTAGAAAAGATTTCATAGCGATATGGAAAAGATTAAGTTTGACAAAAAATAGTATTGATTTTCAATTCATTAGTTGTTACAGATCTTCCATCCCCTTCTTCCTCTTTATAAAACTCTGGAGTCAGACAGTGACAGTGGCAATAAAGCAAAGAACTTTATCATTCAAATGTCTCCACATTACTCATTAGCTCATGTGGTCAGTGACTTCTCACTTAAATTCACCCCTCAGATGTTTTTAAAATATTAAACCTTGATGTAGCCATTATTTTGCTTGATATGCTTAGAGCCCATAGAGAATATCTGACGACAATCAAATTTGTTTCAAATCCTTCCTGAACATGGCTGATCGGGAGCATCAAGATGGATTTCACAGTTCTCTATCTAGAGGAATGTTTAGAGATAAGATGAAAGCAGGCTTCATATTCATCACACGTTATATATTTGACTTCAGCCACCCTCTCAGCCTTTAAATCAGTGGCATCTGGTTCTTGCTATTAAGAGTGCCATTACCTTCTGCACTAAAAGGCAGTTAGTGCTGGACGAAGCAGGCCCATTTTATTAAAAAATAATTAACTAGAGTTAGACATGCCACAGAAGCTTAAATGAAGATTTCTGTATGGGTGGGAGCCCTACTTTATTTCTACAGTGGAGACAGATGAATTGAGAGGCTGCCTCTTTGTGGTTGTGATAGATGTTGACATGAAAGAGTCATTGGATTTGATGATGTAAAGCTCTACATTGAATAGAAAAACTCAATAGTGAAGAGTGACCAACATCTGACCTGTCAGTAGCTGAACAAAGTAGCTGAACCTTGATATAGCCCCAGTGTGTCCTTATCCATGATGACTGGGGTACATCATTGTCATGTACATAACAACACAGCCACTTGGAACCATTTTCTGTGAGATAATAGCACAAACCTGATGTTTTATAATTATCAAGAAGATAATATAATGGAGCCCACTGATCGGTGAATTCAGTCTCGGAAGTGGAAGAAATTTTACTTAGGAAGTAAACTTATCTTTGAATTTCTTAAAACCATAAAATCTGAGATATTAGTACAAGTTTGACTGCTTAAGTTAGTAATTCTTTTTTTCCTACCATTGTATGATCAATGTAAAGTTGGAATAATGTGTAAACCACATTTTTAAATTGAGAAAGTCCTTTTCCTATTTATCAGTCAGGTGAATAAAAGTAATATGTTAGTGACACAAATAATTTGTTTTCTGGCTCTGGTTTCTCCTTTAATTACCAACTGTTCCCAAACAGCTTTCATACAGCTAGTTCTTCTATGGACAATGTTTTGAGAAGCACTTCTTCTTTAGTTGAATCAAAATTACATAAGGGAGCTTTGAAAAATGTAGAATGTCTTGGTAATTACCTTTGGAATTTTCAAGAGTGCTGTACCTCATCTTTGCCTCTCTTATAGTTTTTATTTTATTTTATTTTTAAAAGGTTTATTTATTTGACAATAATCAGGGATCTAGACTTCCATGGAAAGTACATAAGTTCCCAAATAGCCCTCGCTGAGTAGATCAATGGTTAATAATGATAGTTCAAAATATAAGAAGTGAAAAAAAATGTGTAGATTTAATGATTTAGTTATTGTTGCCTAAGCTTCCACCTCTCCCCTCTAAAGCAGCATAGCACAAGGAATTCCCGTGTGTTTAACACTGTAAACTTTTATCCTATAAAGAAAGAGCTTAGTCCAGTGCTTGTCATGTAAGAGGCAAATGAACAACGTTAGCTGTAAATGGCTGTTGTCTTCACAACAAAAACTCACATACCATTTACAGAATTTCCATAAGAACCCCAAATTTCCTGGACAGCAAAGGATCATACTAATAATGTTTTTCCATCAGAGTCTTCTTGTGCTATACATCTATCAACTGTAGTAGGCCAATAATCTTTTGATTATGCTAAGACATAAATCAATGAGATTGAAGGACAAAAAAATACTTTGGCTGCTTCAGGGAATTATTGGATCATGCAGCTTACAAGTGAATGCCCAGAGGTCAATCTAATTAAAAACATGACTGGATCCAGGGGTTAGCAATTGCTTCTTTCTGTATCACCTGGCTGCCCTATCTCTTAGTATCTGTCTCCCTTCTCTTGCCGAGACTGCTTTTATTCTTAGGCTGCCTTTGCTTTTGTGGTGGTTGAACCTCGAAAGTACCAGGAATCTATGTTGCTAGTTTAGGAATTTCAGAGGCAAGGGACATTCTCTTGTGAATTGTGAAACTGAAGCTTAATGGTGTTGCTTACTATAGCTTCCCAGATTTGAACAACTCATGTGACAAACTAAAAGCAAAACACAGTAGTTTTCCAGGTTCAAATATGAACATACTCCAGAAACTGTGATGGATTAACTCTACCCAAAACACTTACTCTTGCAAAAGGCAAAGTTAATTTTCCAAAAGATAGTGAAGGGCTATCGTTAGCAATATGGAACCCATAATGAGAGACTTTCACTGCATGAACCTAGCCTCTGGTCCTCTACCAGTCTTTGGTTGCTGAAATGGGGTACTTTAAAGAGAATAAACTGAGGATTTGGCTCAGAGGCCATATATTTTGCTAAAGTAACTTTCAAATGTTTTATGCTCTATTTTGCACTCACAATGAAAAACAGTTGACTTATATTGATAAAATATAAATTCAGAATTCATCAACAATAATACAACTTTGATCTTAGTCTTGTTCAGCTGGACCAGAGGCAAGATTGGAAAGTAGAAATATGCAATGGCAGGGTTAGAAAGGAAATGGCCAACGTTTCAGAGGAGATTTTTACACTTAGGCTCTCTTTATTGCATGATAATGACACTAGGAACTTACAATATGGATGTATTATAGTTCGCTGAATCAATAAAAATCACATAGCTGTTAATGATTTCAAACTCAGCTTGCTAAGCATGACTTGGCAGAGCTACCAAGTGATTAAAAGTGTTTGAAGGAGAGTTAAGGACTACAGTGCTCAAGTCCAAGTCTGGGTGTTTGTGTGGTGTGTGGCCTTGGACCTGAAGTTTCTGGGATATAGTTTCCTCATATGAGAGATTGAGTAATAAAATGTAGTCACCACACAACAGTGGGGACTGACAGGAAGATTCAGGCTTCTGCATTCTTCAAGCACTGCCTATGCGTTTTCATTCTCCCAGGTGCCTAACAAGCTCCCCACCCCACCCCCACCCCATAGTCAGTCACGTAATAATTCTTGTTGTCCCCTATGGTACCATTTATTTTATGCTCATCGTGTTCTCATAAAGGAAGAAATTTTACCCGAGGTGAGAAGGACAAATGGTGTTTTATGAACTGCAATTTTAATGCCTTCTTTTTGAGCTTACAAAGAGGCATGGAGAATGGTTACAGCTAGCGTGTGGGCTCTGCAGCTCATATCACACATCACTGCTGATGTTTCAGTATGTTTTGAAGGCTTTTTTCATGCCTGCGCTCCTCCTACTCCCTGTCCCTTTCTCCCAGTGCAAGCTGCTTTTACTTACGGTGAAATAGAAGCAAGGTGGTGAATTTTTCTGAGGTGAGTAGTCAGCATGGTAGATGAAAAGACCAAAGCAATAAGTGTTACCTTTAAGTTATTTGCTAAAGCACCTGCATTCTTGCTTGGTAACCATGGGCTTTATTACCGGCATTTTCAATTTTTGATCTCTTGGCTATTAAAAAAAAAAAAAAAGACAGTCAACTGCCTTATTCACATCTTTGCTATGAGGGCTAAATGAGATCATGTCCACAACAGGAGAGTGGGATCCAAGTAAAAATTTTCATTATGATTTGTGACTATCATGTGTATGTGTCTGTGTGTCCACAGTTTGTTAGCAGTTGAATTGGTGTGTGTTCTGCTTTCATTCCTCAATTCCCCAACACGCAGAGGCTCTCTACCAGATGGCTGGTCTGCCAGCTGTGTCTTGTTTTGTCATTGTAAATACTGCATGCCCCAACAGGGAGGCTTTGCTTATAATCTAACATGCCTTTCCTTTATCTCTTACAGCTTGAGAATTACATTGTGGAAAATATGAAGTCGGAGATGGCCCAGATACAACAGAATGCGGTTCAAAATCACACAGCCACCATGCTTGAGATAGGAACCAGTCTCTTGTCTCAGACTGCAGAGCAGACCCGAAAGCTGACAGATGTTGAGACCCAGGTATGTCCACAGGGCCAGAGTCACATACTCAACCAGAAGATTATTTTAAAAAATACTCTTCAGTTTATCCATAAACACGGAGCATATGTTAGCAGGAGGTTTGTTCATTGGTAATAACAACAGTGAGGGCTTGACAAGCTATTATGCATGCTTTTATTGCTTTAATGAGGATAAATATATTTAGCTTTGTATGTGTTTGCAAAAACAGAGCAGCTGAAAAACCTAATCAGCATTAAGTTCAAATAAACACTGCAGCTACCAACTCTGATATGCCTTGAGTCAATCAAAATAGTCCTGTGGTGTGTGTGTGTGTGTGTGTGTGTGTGTGTGTGTGTGTGTGTTGTCTAACCGGTGCCTTGATAAGCATTTTTGACCTATTTTGCTTTATCTCTGGTAATGCTCTTGTGATAGTGGCATCTGCAGTAGCCTTGTAAAGTCAGTGACTTGAAGGGAAAACTTTGTGTGCGCTGACCAGAAATAAGCACCCACTTACACATGACTGCGTATTTGATTGGAAATCAGTAAAATGTAAGGATGCCTTGAAATTATCACTACCATAAATATGCTAGCAAATAGCATATAAGAGCATGGCAAGATGGTCTCAGTGCACTTAGCTATGATTGTTGTGGTTCCACTATAATAGCATCATGAAATTTGGGATCTGGGATGACTGTTTCAGTGTATCTGATTTCTATCAAGGCTAAAAATTTGCATGTGTAAATATGCCAGTGTGGACTATTTCTACTTTATTTAGTCTGTGTCAGTGACATTATAGATCATATGTTGATATTTAGAGAATAGTAGCAAAGATACTTTGTATAGATAAAGCATTTAATGTAAAATACAGGTGGCCTCGATACTATACACATTTATGAAAACCACTTAAAGCTTGTAGGTAAGGAAATTCTACTGATCTCCCTCACTAACATAATTTACAATTCAGGACTCAAATTCTGGAGTCCTCATATCTCTTCCACTGATTAATGATACTAATAATCAACTAATGAAATCAGAACTTAAATGTTGATAACATTGGCTGAATAAGTCACCTAGATTTTGGAAAATACTTTTTTCTGTGAACCATTATCAGATACATGTGATGTATAGGGAGTGGAAACTGTATCTCATAACTAAATAGTATGGGCTGTATCGACTCTCTTATTAGCACATAAAGCATGCTGATCTATACAATTTTGGTTTCCTACACTACACATACAACACTGTATTTTTCTCTTTATTTAAAGCAGAATGCTTACCACCCGCTACAAACATTTTTGCAAGTTCAAACCCTGTAAACACTGGGGTTATTTTTGCTCTCCCCTCATCTAGGAAAGAGAAAAATGGTCCTGTCATTAATATTTTAATCTCCAAGCGGTAAAGATTGATGTTGTGCAAGGTTTTTTTTTAATTTAATTTTATTTTATTAATTACACTTTATTCACTTTGTATCCCCCAAAAGCCCTTCCCTCCTCCCTTCTGTGCAAGGTTTTTAAAGTAGCAATTTATTCTGCATTCCAAAGGCTGGGAGATATGTATTTTCTGAAAGATAGTACAGAAAAGCCAAATAGTGAAGAGAAAAAAAAAAAAAAACTCCCTGCGCGAAGCAGTGAAAATTCATCATAAAGGCCAATTAAAGCTTGTAAGATATAACAGGAACATTTTTAAAATAGAGGAACTCAAAAATAACCACAAGTCCTTCAGAACTATCAACAAGCAATTAGACAAGGAAATAGTCAGACAGGCCTTAATCTGTTTTGCAAAGGGAAGCTTTTGCATTCTTCTTATCTTGCTTTGAACATCTTGCCATCATTGATGTTAACCCCCAAACCCTCCTTAAGCGTGTATCTGTGTATCTATGTGGGATATATTTGAACTATAGAAACAGTTCTGCTTCAGCATAAACACATAACGGCATCCACCTCCTGCTTCTGGATAAAGTTTACAAACTGGATACTGAAACTTCGGTGCTTTTTTTTGGGGGGGGGATCCACTTTTAAGAATTTACACGCTGGTAGAGCTCTCTGCTCTGTCCAGGTTTGTTCTTGTATTTTGTTCTGACATTCACCTAACTTGGTTTCACAGTGTTATAGTTCACTTTCCTTAAAACTGACTTCAGGCTGTTCAGTATTTGAGGATCATGGAGCAATCTCTTTGCCCCGTTTGTGTGGCCCAGCTCTCATGTGATGATCTTATAAAGATAAGCAACTTATTGCTTATTGCCTCTGTTGACCTTCTAAATTTGCACTTTCATGGGAGGTGGTGGTGGGGGGGAGAGGCATGGGCATAATTTTGCTCCAGGGCATAAAGGATCCCCATGTTCACTGAACATTATAATCAGAAAAAGGGTCCCATGCTTGGTGAGCACATTTAGAAAACACTGCTCGCCATGGGGGTGATAATGAGAAACCAGAGAAAGCCTTTCCTTCCTCCAGAGCTCAGCAGAACACCACTCATGCTTATCAGTCTCTGCCAGCATCCCTTCTCCTTCAAATTCCTCTTTTGCATAAAGGACTTAAGATCAGGAATTATTCATGCTCCTCTCCTGTTGCATAATCTTTTTCTCACTTTTTCCTCAGGCATATTTGGTGTAGAACACATTCTCAGATCAACAAACAAAATTACATTCTACTTCTAAGCATCTCCTTGGCTCAGTTTTAAGCAACCTCACACATGTATTAACTATTACCAGCAAATATATTTTATAATGTATATAGTATTTTTATTCCTTGTTCAAAGGTGAGGAAACTGAAATAAAGAGTGATGGAAGAAATTAGTTCAGATGAAAGAATTAGTGACTATTAAAGTGAGAATTTAAACAGTTTGCTGTTAAAATCCACAGGTTTATTATCTTTCTACTAGTGCTGATCTCTCTTCTGTGGTCTGTCCCTTCTCTAAGACTTTAGGACCGTGTCAGTGGGTGCAAGCAAAGATTTAATTTGGAGTAAGAAAACTAATGCAGTACTCTTAGCACTGCTGACAGTCTTCTGTAATGAAGACGCCACTGCTTTGCTGCTGATGGGAATGGCAGGCCCACCCAGGTACATCATTCCCTTATGTGCCAGTGACTTCCACACTCATGGCCTTAGTGCCGCCCTCACCAGCTGCCAGCTGTGTCAACTGTAGGGAAGTTCTGTAGACAGGCATCTCAAGTTTCCTTCAGTCTCCAATAAGTTCCAGCACTACAGTATTAGAAGTGGAATTTAATTGCATTTGAGCAGATCTACTTTGCATATTTCCATGATGCAAAATGTTCCGAAAGGTGATTTGCAGACTACATTAATACCTAAAGCAGTCCTTATGTCCGGTGACTTTGAGTTAGTATGGTAAAAACTCTCTATATTAATTCTCTTTTTCACTTTCTGTCATATGTAAAACATACCTTTTCAGTGTGCTGCTGTGGAAAGTATAGCTGACCAGTGGCCCCAGCTGCTGTACTCTCAAACCCATCAGGTATTAGTATAGAGACCACAATTCTCCATAGCCATCTCTGAGCAATGACTCACTGTGGCAGGGTACTTAGTGTTGTTCCCAGGAGCTTTCCAACTTTGCTGACACATGACTTTGGCTAATGTTTTCCCATTGCCTGTTGGATATAATTACAGCTGTCTTCAGGACTAAGACTTCCATTTAGCACTCCTTTCCCTGCTCTCTCCTTCACAGGGGTAAAGCCTCAATCTGAAGGCTGGCTCTGGCTCCTCCCACTTATTCCCACTTTCCCTTCATAGACATTGGCCCTAATAAATTCACTGCATAGTTAATCCCACTTCTCTTCTGCTTCTCTGAGACCAGTAAACACAACTGTTGCTTGGCTCACAACAGAACAGGTAGAAATTTAAATCTGTTCATAAGTAGTCTAGGCAGTAACAAGCTTCTTCTTATGTCTACTGTCAAAGGTCAGCTCTAAAAATTGAACAGCATTTCTTTAACTAACTTGATGAGGGCATAGTTAAACTTTTAACCTAGACCTAGATGAAATGATAGTGCCATGAATTAGCTAGGCGGTCTTATAAGGAAAATACATTGGTAATTAATTCGCATAAGCCACTGGAAGAATGCTCAGAAAACACAGGCTCAAATTTGACTGCCATTTCTTTCTAAAGCTGTATTAAACACAAACACATTTATTCATGCATGAGTTGTCTGTGGCTGCTTTACTGTCCTCACAGCAAAGTGGTTATACCAGAGTTACAGTAAAGACCATATGACCTATATATTGGTTTTTTTTTCCCCTCATTGCTGTGACAAATATGTAACAGAAAAAACTTAAGGGAGTAAGAATTTAGTTTGACTCACAGTTTGAGAGTATAAAATTCATAATGTGGGAAGGCCACATCAGGAGTTTGTAGCTGGGACCACTCATGTTTCACTGTGTTAGAAAGCAGAGGCTCTGAGACTACAAATAGGACAAGCTACAAACCAGAAGACCTAGCCCCTAGGGATCTATTCCTTCCATTGAGGCCCCAAGCCATAAAGGTTCTATTATTTCCCCAAACAGAATCACCAACTGGGGACCATATGTTCGAGCATATGAGCCTTTTGGGAGCATTTCACATCCCAATAATGACAGCTCACCAAGCTAAGATGGTTACTATCTGGTCGTTGACTCAAAATCTAACCAACTCTTCTCACACGGGTTAAGCAGAAAGCAAAGATTTTCTTTCTTTTTCTTTTCTAAAGCTCTATCTTTAGGATTTGGAACAGGATATTAAATATATAAATATATATATGTATAATACATTGTACTTAATGAGGGCTATATATATGTTTATATATACACATATATACTGTACTTATTGAAGAATATATATATATATATCAAACCCTCAATAGGTACTAGTTAAGTAGTGAAATTAACAAACCTTAATCATAATATATTTGGATCTTAACCCAACGCTGTCTTGGTAGTAATGGATATGCAAAAATAGCTGTTTGCCCGAATAGGATTTAGAAGAAAATTTAACCTACTGAAAAAAATAGTGACTGAAGAAGTAATTATGCCA